TTGGTGGTGCCTATTTTATATTTGCATGTTTTTTTTTATTGAATTCTCCAACAAGTGGTTGCAGCTTGGCGTTTGCGGAAAGGTCTGTCGATAAAATTTGTATTTATCTCACATGATGGATGAGTTTGCTTGTTATGGCGATTGATTAAGAAATTAGTAACGGGCAACTGCTAAGGCAAAATAACTATAGGGATATTTTATCAGATGCTCTGACAGATTTTGTAGAAAAAGTGTGTTTTCTAGTTGATGATTTAAAGAAAGTTACTCCATTGATGAAAAAAATTCTCTCCCCATTTTTTTTTAATACCAGGTTGTCAAAAAAGTCTTGCGGTATTTTTATTGAATTTTTTTAATTTTTCAATTGTTCATAAAAATTTTTTTGATGACTCATGCCCAAAACTTGGTCGATACTACGGTTGCTACTATGCCGGTCTCTTTCGACCAATTCAGCGATTTTCGACGACAGGCCTTCCAGAACGAAACGTTGAAACCATCGTTGTGCGGTGGAAATGGAAACTGTATCGGGTCCATAAACTGYACAAATTTTATTGGCCGCTTGAGATGCATTTTTGTCTTTATCGCAGTAGTACTGTAAAATATGTCGTATTTTCTCTTTATATATAACTCACGAACGACTTAAAAGAAACGGCAATCAATCAAACACGTGTTAGCGCGTGAAATCAGCTTTCTAAAAAGATATAGCATGACCCGATGCGACGAATAAAACTCGAACTACGCGCTCTCAGCGCTAACTAGCGAAAATACCGCAAGAGTTTTTTGACAACCTAATATTTTGACCAATTAACTTTGGTTTCTTTGCGTTCTTTATCACTTAATTCTATGGATATAAGTATATACATATGTATGTATCTCTATGAGAATATACTTAGCACACAAAACATATATTCTGTCTCTTATACACATCTAGATGTGTATAAGAGACAGTGTATGTATCTCTATGAGAATATACTTAGCACACAAAACGTAAGCATATATTAAATTCCAATTCCATTGAGTTCAGAACCGTCGACATGCTGGTTGGAAAATGTTGAGGCATTTCGTTGCGATGGAGTTTTGACAGACGCATTTAACTGGTAGTAATCCATATCGATATTTTTGTAAAAATTTAAAAAATATGGGATAAATATTTTGATAATAATRTGGATAAAAAAATGTGTGATGTACCGTAATTAACGCTATATTTTAATTCTATGGCAAATTACATTTCATGAGATCCCCTTCATGCTGTTTCAATCCGCAAAACCCCAGTCGCTACAAATTGTGAGCCGATACTCAATTAGCAGCGCCCCAGCTTCGTTCTATACCCGCTCAGACTTCGTACATTTATACATCGGTTAGCTATATGTTTTTGCTCTTCCCGTCACTCGTTCGTTTACCCATTGTAGTACGCTCCAACGCTCACTTGCTTGCTCATACAAATTATTCCAACCAATGCGATACTCAAATATTTTTAGTGTCAGTAGTGGTAGCAGACAAAATCAACGACATACATGTCGCTATATTCGCTCCATTTATCAAAACATATTATATATAGTATGTGCATATATAACGTTCTGAACGGTCGGTTTAGGGCGATGTAGTGTTTAATAGTAATCGGGTTTTATACTATTATCCAACTTTTCGCGACAATTTTTAACACAATTTATTATAAATTGTTATTTCTGATATATCGTCGTTAGTGCTCGTTTTTAATTGTTTTTTAATCGCATTTTTTAGCGAATGTACACTTTTCATAGCTTTCCTATCCGTTGTCACGACTCGYTTTATATTTTCCGCGCTTATTTCGGATCACTGCTGATATGTTGTTTCGCACAGTGGCGCAAAAGTGAAAATCTCATAAATTAAGAAAAAAACAACATCGTACTAATGAAATATACAAATAATAGATATGTAAATGCATACTTCAGCAGTAACGGTAACTTTATGAAGTGCGAACTAAATCGTCCTTATAAGCTACTAAATCTGAGCGCCTTAATATTTGTTCCGAAACATGGGATAACGAGACATCCAATAATCAAAAAGAAAAGTTTCCAAAACATTGTTTTTAAATATCTAGTTTAAAAATATTAACCTGAAAATATTATTTTCGTAAAATTGTTAGCCTTATCATATATTTTCATTATAGTTTGGTCGTCAACAATTCAACTCAAATTTATCATGCGTATGACAATTTTTTTGTTCTGTTGTCTTGTTCGTTTGCTCGAGACATTCATTCGTTCATTGATTTGACTGCTGATTATGTTGTTGGATTTTAGCCGCGGTTGTTTGATAATAACTGCAGTGTTCGACAGTCTTTGTGAATGTTATCCAATTCTATCGCGCCCTGAGTAAGTGTGTTTTCGTTTTTTTTTTCTTGTATATTGCGATTATTTGCACTCTGGCCGCCACCCCACCGAGGTTGCTTAAAAATGCTAAAATTTTAAACGTTGCACAAGAAAATGTAATAATTTTACAAATTAGAGGGCCAATCAACAGAGGTTTGGAAGCAACAGGCGTGCTGCATTGAAACGTTTTGTTGTTTACCTTTCGCCAACTCCAATCAGCATTGGCACGGATGTTGTTTTTATGAAAATTATCGCTACGTTGTGGTATGCATGCTCGATTATTTAAGCCGCCGCATGCCTAACGATCTCTTCGACGACGATGAGCTTACAACGGAAAACAAAGAAAATCGAGTCAGTTTCAGCTCAGTTAGCATGTCAACAGTCAGCATTCTTTTTACTTACACTGTTAAATTGTTGCTAGCACATGTGTGTTTCGTTTTCTATATAGTCGTTACTCATTCGATACTCGCATTTCATTCGTTASTAAGTGGACCACATACTCAACCGGCACAACTTATTTCTCTATATACATGCATACATGCAGTTTTTGTCATATTCAGCAAAATCGCTTATTTATTATTTATTTTGAATAACTACTATACGTATTTATACCTTTTGAAAACAGTTTCTAAATTTTTAAGTTTTCTCTAATGTAATTGTAACTGTTATTTGACAAATAACTTCTTCATCGCAAAGCATCATTTTTTATGTCGGCCAATTCAAACTGTTCACGCGTCCAACTGGAGATCCTTGTTATTTCTATTTGTTTCTAAATCGATAAGAAAATATTAATAAACACCATAAAGCGATGTTCATTTTGTGAGTGTCTTGACTTGCATGCGTTTTTTNACTTCACCAGTAATATTTTATTAATGCTTATTCTGTCTCTTATACACATCTAGATATTGTGTATACATATGTATGTATGCGAAAACTTATGTGCCTACAAACATATTTATTTACTATCTTTTTTATTATTGTTTTATGASTTTGTTTGTGTGCTTCCGTCTTCTATTGACTTTCGACTGTGATATAAACCGATCGTGCCAATATACTTTCGTGATCTTCTCAATTTTGTGAATTCAGCTCTAAATAATTGTTCGCCAAAAGCCTCAAACAACTGACGAATTTTCTTTTTTTTTTTTTTTTTTTTTTTTAAATACACATTTGTAAAGTTATTCAAACAATGCTCACTGATTTTTCATCTCTTTTCGATATATTTCCTGTAACGTCATCAGCATCTTTTGCCAGTTATTCATGTTGTTGCTCTGCATTCCTTGTTATGTTATGTTGTTGCTCTGCATTCCTTGTTATGATTTATGACTTGACGAAAGCAACAACCACCATACTAAGTGACATATCAGCCAGAACTGTCGAAGTCATGGACACATCAAGATGAAAAAACCAAACAATCAAATAGTTTGATTGACTTGGCGCACCTTTCGGATACCTCAGACACATTGCCRTTGCCATTGCATGAATGACATACATACATATTCACATAATATTTTCACAATCACTGATGCTTACTTTTGCGAATAAYACATCTATGCTTTTCTAGTCTTTGTAATTAATTGCCTTGTAATAACTGACTCCGATGTGCTTCTAAATACATTTATGATGTCCGCTTTTATAGTTTGCTTACACATTACTTTCGCCATTTTGGTTCGAATATGTGTTTGTAGATACTTACGAGTATATGGTGCTTATTTATTTAAAATAAAGCTTGTGCCGGCCGGCATTTTTATCTGAATGTTACGCGATTTAATGTTTCTTTTTTAGGTATTTTTGAATAAATGAATTTGTGTTTATGTGTTCTTTATATCTGTTCCAAACGCAAATTATATCTGATTGGTTTTGATTATTTATTGCTCTCTCACTGCTTGAACTTGAAGAGAAGCTAATAATTGTTGATTTTACGAAATCTCTTGTATTGCTTTTACGATGTTTGTAGTTGTTAGAGTTCATATAATTAGTGGAACAAGTAGGTTGTAAGAAATACAAAA